ATTTCAATCCAAATGAAGCAGGAAATAATAAAAAAACACGAACAAGGTATTAAATCAAATGCGCTATGCAAAGAATATGGCATGTCGGCATCAACTGTGTCGACAATTCTTGCACAAAAAGACAAATTTAAGGAAGTGAACGTGAGAGACAAATCTACAAGAGTGTTTAAAAGTAGATCCCTAATCGTAGAAACTGAGAGGTTACTTATCATCTGGATTAGGGAAAAACAGATGAAAGGTGATTCAGTTTCTGGTGATTTCATTTGTGAAAGAGCCAGGGAGATTTATGAACATTTAAAGACAGATCAACCTAGTTCTTCAGGAACAGAATTTGAAGATTTTCGGGCTAGCAAAGGCTGGTTCGAAAAATTTAAGAAAAGAAGTGACATTTTAAGTGTTGTTAGGCATGGTGAAGCTGCTAGTGCTGATAAAGAAGGGGCAGCAAAGTTTTTAATTGAATTTAAAAAACTGATGGAAGAAGAAAATTATCTTCCACAGCAAGTGTTCAATGTTGACGAAACTGGGCTGTTCTGGAAAAAGATGCCCAAAAGAACATTCATCACCAAGGATGAAGCCTCTTTACCTGGGCATAAACCCATGAAAGACCGTCTCACTCTATTGCTTGGTGCCAATGCTTCAGGGGATTTCCGACTGAAGCCTATGCTTGTCTACCACTCTGAAAACCCCAGGGTGTTCAAGCAACAGAAAGTGGTAAGAACAATGCTTGGAGTTTATTGGAAGTCCAACCGTAAGGCATGGGTGACAAGACAGTTCTTTAATGAATGGGCTATTGATGTGTTTTGCCCCTCTGTCAAGAGCTACCTAACCACCAATAAACTTCCTTTAAAGGCTCTTCTCCTCATGGATAATGCTCCTGGTCATGACCCTGACCTTGCCAGAAATTTGGAGTATAAATTTGACTTTGTGAAAGTGTTGTTTTTGCCTCCAAACACTACATCACTCATACAGCCAATGGACCAGAATGTGATCAGCAACTTCAAGAAGTTGTACATGAAGAAAATGTTTAGGAGGTGTCATCAGGCAACTTCCATTGATCCTGAACTAACACTGAAACAGTTCTGGAAGACACAATTCAACGTCCTGGAGGCTGTAAAATTGATTGTGTCATCATGGCAAGAAGTCTCCAATAGAACCCTCAATTCTTCATGGAAAGCACTGTGGCCATCAGTAGTCCATGATTTTGAGGGATTTGAGGATGACACAGAGTTGGACCAGGAGATTGTGTCCATTGGTCAGTCATTGGGTCTTGAAGTGGAGGAGAAGGATGTGGAAGAGCTTGTGATGTCTCATGAGGAGGAACTTACTCCTAATGACTTGAAGGAACTGGATGAGATGTTACGGGTAGAGGCTGACAGTGGTGAGGAGGAAATTGAAAGTGATGACCATATGTCAGCTACACAGTTGAAAGATGTGATTTACCACTGGGAGAAGTTCAGGGAACTGGCTTCAAAGCACCCAGAAGTGGAAAAAACTGAACTAGCTTTGTGTCATGTTGAGGACTCAGTGGTCTCCTTCTTTAAACATAAGTTAATGGTGAGGAGGACAGATGCCCCACAGACCACAATTGACACTTTCTTCAGTAAAAGGCAGAGGGAACAAGATGCTAGCCCTCAGCCTTCCACTTCAAGAAGGAGAGAGGATGTTCATGGTGGAGAATCTGTCAGTCCAGAGGTTCCTGACATTTTCATGGAAGGTGACTCACCTTCCAAGAAGCAGTAAAATGCTTCTCCTCCACTTCCTTCTCTTCTCCCTTCTCCTCCTGCACCTCCCACTTCAAATGCACATCATCACCATCATCCAGGAGCCTTCTACATACACACCTCAAAGTAAGTAAATTTTTCCGCCATTTTTGTTGAAGTTAGGAAATTTTCGGTGAGCTGGAACCAATTACCCAAAAACCCATTGAAACAATGGTTTCGGTTAACGAACGTTTCGGTTAACGAACGACCTTCTGGAACGGATTGAGTTCGTTAACCGAGGGGCCACTGTATATGTATATGTATATATATATGTATATGTATATGTATATATATATATATATGTATATATATATATATATATATATATATATATATATATATATATATATATATATATATATATATATATATATATATATATATATATATATATATGTAAATTGTAATTTACATATTATTCATATTATGCTACTGCGCCCACAAAACATGAGAAACGTTTGAGTCCCCCAATAGAGATGTCCGTTCTCTATCCACTTCAGGATGTCTTAGTCCTCTGTTTTCTCTTTGTGTACTCGCTCAGGGACTCAAGAATTTGTGTATATAACACAGGATGATAAGGGAATTTGAAATTATGAGTGAATGAATTTATTATACAGTGATCAATTAACATAGTATTGATGTGTTTAAGTAGTATTCAGGCGCCTTCAGCCTAGTAATGTTACTGCATTCGTATCACTCACTCTAAACCACGAATTCCATTCATACAGAGAGAGAGAGAGAGGCCAAATGCTCTGTTTGCATCACACACACACATAAATATTACATAAATTATTTCTGCAATTCTTCACAAACAAAACACATAACTCAATTGAACATGTGATGTCGAACGTGAACTGTAAACACTGCATAACCCCGCGCCAAGCCACAACAACCGTTCGAGTAGAATCGCGTTAGAGGAAACGCGTTCGCGTTTTACAAATATTGTTCCTCTATTCATCAATCTCGTTAGAGCCAATTCGCGTTGTCAAAACACGCGTTATAGCAGAACTCACTGTATCAATACTATTAGGTTTTTTAACACTTACATTAGTAGAAAAGATGGCTGGGCATATGGGGATGGGAGGTTGGTTCTGAGGCAGAGGGCAGATTATTGGCCCTCATCTATATCACATGTATCAATTGTATCACTATCCACCACAGAGGCTTGCAGGGCCTCTTTGTCAAACCCCTTAAAGTCCATATAAGTCCATATCCTCACTATCACTGACTTGGGCTGGCCGTGGCGGGTGAAGAACTCGGTAATGTTTTGATGACTGGGCGACCTTGTGCGCACCCTGCCCGCGCCGTTTCCTGCGTATATGAGTAGATACACCGCGTAAAGTGGGAATTCCGGTTCTGGCGGTGTACCGAGTAAATGTGGAAACGCGTTAACGAGAACCGCGTAAAGCGGGTTATTACTGTATTGTAAATGTGTGTGTTTCTGCACACATACACATATATACAACACAGGTAAAAGAAATAATTGTCCTAAGGCCAAACACATAAAGGGAATATACATTTCTTTGTCCACAAGTAAAAATGTAACCACACCCCTCCTCCCCCCCCTCCCCCAGTCAGCAAATGTTATTTGCGGATTTTGCAATTCGCGACCATTTTGAGAACCTAAGCCCCGCGAATTAGGGAGGCCCCCCTGTACTGTCAAATCTCAAACATACTGTAGTCTACAGGTACTATTTTGTAAAGAAACTGAAAGTGAAATGAATATGAGTAAGTTTATACTCTTTGGGAGTTAAATATTTACTACAGAGTCTGCCTTTTGTACAAGTCCGCGTTTAACTTCGTCCCGCATAACGTTGTATTGGTACTATGTCGCTAAACTTCAGAGACCAAAAATTCGTTCAACGGTGATCTGATACTACGTTGTTTTGCATCGGCTCAGACTACATTTTGCAGTGCATCACCCTCTCTCGGCTTGGCGCAGTCTCAGTAACTCACCACCCTCCTCCCCTTCCGCCATCCTCCGCTCCCACCCTCCTCCCCTCCCGCCATGCCTTCTCTGATTCACTACCCACCACACACTCGCTCTACCACCTCCGCCCATCGGTGAGTACCAATACAAACTTAGAAGTTGTATATGTATGCTTTATTTTCTATATGAATGGCAATGATTTTTTGTATATGTAATGTATTTCGTGGGGCAAAGGGAGGCTCAGAAAAGTAACTCCTGTATTTATCTATTTCTTATAGGGAAAATTGATCCGCTTAACGTTGTTTCGTATAATGTTGCATTTTTAGGAATGTAACCTCAACGTTAAGCGAGGACTTAATGTATTCTGAAGCGGGGTCACAGTCGTAATCACTTCATTGCAAATGTGATAAACCGCTACTAGTCATTGCAGACTGGAATTCTGAAAAAAACTCCAACCCTGATCCTCTGGTTGGAGGATTTTGCTTTCCTGGTACAGTACTATGCTTTTGATATGTGTTCCTTCCACTCTGCTACAATCCAAGGGGAACTATAGGATAGGTGGTCTTAGCACTTTGAAATTCTCACTCTTGCAGAGTTTATTTAAATTGCCACATAGTCCTTGGTCTACATTATATATAATTATAAGGTGGTGAGTAGTATTTGATGGTAATTCAGTTATTATGAATGGCTATGCAAGTGTATATGATGACATAATTGGATGTTAAATAACATGCCAGTTGCAAAATTGGTTTAACTCAACAAATATACTTCAGTGACAGCAGCAATCTGCACAATGGGCTCTGCCACCTTTACAATAAGTTAAACTGGATATGTATATCAATTAGGCTGAACAATTTATGTCAGTGTATACTTAAACTGAGCTTTTGCTAGTTCTACACATGATGTTGACTGGTATTAATTTTATTGGAAAATAAAAGGAATTTTGTGCTCTTCCTTTAGAAAACAAAGTCTAGAGAATTACAGAAAACCTCACTTTTGTCAATGCGGTTATCAAATAAACCTAACAAGGAGTTGATAATGCAAGATAGTTCATGCTTTTCCCATTATAAACTAAGTTTCTCTTCACTGAACCTTTGTTGACATACGGTACTTACCAGACACTCATTGTCATCCCTGTTTTATGACCATTTTCCATGCTTGCATGGGTTATCTTTGAGTAATCTACAGTCAATCCTACCTAACCACTCTAAACATGATAATTTTCCTGGTAACTCTACTCAATCTCTTTACCGATTGTTTTGGCATTACAAATTTCATATTTTAAGACCAACTAATTTTTTTTTCTATAGGATGAGGAAGATATTGCAGAAGAGCTTCGAAACACAGAAGAGTATCAAGAAATATTGAGGATAAAGCAAGTCAGGTCATTGAAGGTCCGTGAGATGGAAACAGGCATTATTTCTCATCCAGGATTCACTGTAAGTTTTTCTTATTTTAATTGATATAATGAAAATAATATTAACTATGCTTTACATTGCTTTCTTCATTAGCCCAAACTAAACTTAGGCTAATGCCCTGTAACATTACTAATTTCTTGGTACAGTAGAACCTCGATATTAATAAGGGCAGACCCCAGTCCGAAAAAAGCAAATATATAAGGGAGGGGGTTGGAGATAAGATAACACTGCTTATCTGAACTGTTTAAAGAAAATTGGTTGTTGTTATGTTATTACTGCACTTTAACAACTAAAGCTTTAAATAATATAACAAGGTTATTAAAATACTATTACAGTATACTGTAGACTGGATTTACGCGGTTTTTGTTTACGCTTTTGGTCATTTACACTGCCTTGCCAGAATGAAATGTTTTATTTACGTGGTAAATTTCATCATTTACACGGCGAGCGGCTGGAGTGGTCCAGACCGCCGCACCATTTTTTACTCACGTGGTCCATTATTGACCATACTCGGGAAGCGGCAAGGTGAGTGGTACGCATTAGGCCGCTCTTACGTTATCGCTGACGTCATATGAGGTATCGGACTGTGATTGGGCCACTCATCCTTACCACCCACGCATTCCCTCCGCCGCTAGCTATGATTGGTCTAATGTAACATGACGTGCCCTACCACCAGAGGGTAGAAGTTGCTGACCTAGCCCGGCCTGTCTCATTGTTCTTAGTCCGCGTATACAGTTCTCTCTTGTGCCCGCTATTCCCCTCACAATGGCTTCCGCTGGACCCCCACCACCCGAGAAAAACCTTGAATTACGTGGACAAAGCCATGATAATGTGAAGGAAATCATCGAGTTGGGGGAGAAAATTAAGCTCATCCTTGACAACGACCCAGAAAAGCATCGGTATGAAGTGTCTAATAACCTTCTGTCGAAAGTTATGGAGCTGTATATCCAGATCTATCTTGACAACATCAATGCTAGTCATCAACGTAGTGTTGAGGACTTCCTTGCCCGCAACCCACCACAACCACAGCCAGCCCAAGTCAGTGATAGTGACAGTGAGGATATGGACTTTGAGGGATTTGTCTGGGAGGCCCTGCAAACCTCTGCGAGTAGTGAAAGTGATTCACTGGAGGGCAACTAATCTGCCCTCTGCCTCGGAACCAGCTGCCATCCACGTGTGCCGACCCAGCATTTCTACTAACGTAAGTGTTAAAAACACTAATATTATTGATATTTCTCTGAATTATTAATTGTGTGTGCATACCATCATAAGATGTTATTTATACTGCAATGTACGTATTGTGTCGGAAAAAGTGGAGTTTGGGGGTCGGCCCAGTCTCTATTTCAATTAATCCCATATGTTCCGTTGTTTACGCATTTCTCGTTTTACGCGGACCTCCACGGGTTCAATTGACCGCGTAAATGCAGACTATACTGTACATAAAAAAACATGAAACAGATAAAAGTCTGGTTGTCAACAACTGTTTTCACTGAGTTGATTGTTACGTATAGTAAAGTTTTATTTTCTTCTACAGGGAATAGCCCACCCGGGCACCGGTGATCGACTCACAACAGGGCCTCGGGGCAAAAAAATAAGAGTACAGTAAAAAGAAACTGAAAATAGAAGAGAAAGATACTACAGTAGAACGTCGATTTAAAGCGATTCAATTTAAGATTATTGATTTAAAGCAACACCCAAAATTAAGGACAATGTTTTAATTTAAAGCGAATCTTTCCTATTTTGCGCGAGTCAATCTGGCGCACCATATTTAAAATTTTACGCCTAATGCTTCTCTGGGCATGCTACACTGTCCTAAGGGCAAAGCTATACTATACATGTACTCAAAATGATGTACTAAATGATTACTAAAAAAAATTTCTAGTGCAAACTATAGCATGATTATATTCCAATAAATCAATATCTTATAATAATTCCAGCAGTGTAAATTATATTCTCCCTGGTCGCTTCTGTGACATTTTATAAGCAAAAAACATAAACTTAAGCTAAAGGGCATAAATAAACAAATAAATACTTCACTAGACCTTCTGCCCCAACTGTCCAACATGTCACTGTCACTTCCCTCCTCTTCCTTCCCTTCCCTCCCTCCTTCCCTCCCTCCAGCCAGGGTTTGGTGGTTTTTGGCATGAAGTTTATATCTTATATAATATCACAGACTAAAGTTTGGATAATATAGTTTGCATTGGTGGAATCTTTGCAAGACAGCCAAATAATTTGAATATAGACATAATATATTTTGCACAAGACATAAAAATTAATCACCTGTATCACATTACAGTACTGATTTATGAGTTCTAGTGTATGTATGTATATATATATATATATATATATATATATATATATATATATATATATATATATATATATATATATATATATATATATATATATATATATATATATATATATATATATATATATATATATATATACCGTATATACTCGTCTATAACCCCCCTTCGTATATAGGTCGACCCCGATTTTTTGACCAAGAAATCGTTAATTTATGATATTCCTCGTTTATAGGTCGACCCAAGTTTTTGAGGGTAAAGGAACAACAAAACCTTCAGAAAAACACTACGTCCTATAAACTTGTTTACCATTTATTATTACGACACTTTACACTGAAACGCGGGTAGTTTCAACAAAAATATTGTATATTTCCATTCAAGTCAATTAGGAGGGAATATTATTGTAATACAACAGTTTTTTAACTAAACCATTCGAAAAGTGATTACGGTAACATCTTTTGAACGAAAGAAAGCGCAAGTCATTGTTTTCGTCACGATTTTATCCCACTTTCCACTTTAATACGGACGTCATTTCAGCAAAAAATATGACATTTCCGTGAATGTATTATATCAAGCACAGTATGAATAGAATATCATTGTAATATAACAGAATTTTAACCGAAAACTATTAAAAAAACGAATAACATCTCAAGAACATCGGAGGCTTAGGTAAAGTCTTTTGTTTTCGTCATGTATTATTTCCTATTTTACATTGAAATACATCACGTTTCAGCAAAACTACTATTTATTTCCGAGAATATATTCATTCAGGCGCAGTTTAGGTAAAATATACGTGTGATGTAATAGTTTTTTAACTGAAAACGATTCGAAAAACACGTGTACCCTGTAGCCCTGTTCAAGGAGAGGACTGGGAGAAGCTGTTTGGTGCTGCAGACGATGACAAGGAAAATGATTTTGATGGAATTTAATGAAAATATTCAGAAATATGGTATCGTAATATTTATTCAAGTCAATTAGGATATTATTGTAATACAATACAACAGTTTTTTAACTAAACCATTCGAAAAGTGATTACGGTAACATCTTTTGAACGAAACAAAGCGAAAGTCATTGTTTTCATCACAATTTTATCCCACTTTCCACTGTAATACGGACGTAATTTCAGCAAAAAATATTACATTTCCGTGAAGGTATTATATCAACCACAGTATGAATAGAATATCACTAATATAACAGTATTTTAACCGAAAACTATTAAAAATACGAGTAACATATCTTGAACATCGGAAGGCTAGGTAAAGTCTTTTGTTTTCTACATGTAGTTTATCCTAATTTACATTGAAATACATCACGTTTCAGCAAAACTACTATATATTTCTGAGAATATGGAAATGTAATGTTTTTGCTGAAATGACGTACGTATTATAGTGGAAAGTGGGATAAAATCGTGACAAAAACAATGACTCGCTTTCTTTCGTTCAAAAGATGTTACCGTAATCGCCTTTTGAATGGTTTTCAGTTAAAAACTGTTATATTACAATAATATTCTATCCTAATTCACTTGTGATGTAAAAGTTTTTTAACTGAAAACGATTCGAAAAACACGTGTACCGTCTAGCTGATACGGCAGAGCCCTGGTCGTGGAGGCTTTGTGTTTGCATCGGCCCTTCTTAAGCAGCTTTTAATTTTAGCGTACGTTGAAATTGTGTTTACCGGTGTATTCTTATTTTCTTGCTTCTTATTTTCCAGAAATATGACAAGTTTTTATATAATACAATGTTACGGTACTTTTAATTTACAAGTATTCATTTTTTAAAATACAGAAGACACCAAACAAATACTAGTACGGATATTTGCGTGACTCTCCCGCCAAAAAAGACCAAACAGCTGGTACTCTCTCCCTCAGCCCTACCAAAAATAGCCCAACATCTTTCTTGTTTATTCTCTTCCAATTTCTCACTTTAACTGGTATTTTTTACTTCATATTGCCTACATCAGATAAACTACAGTAATTGAGGTTAGATATTGTTATAAATTTGATTACCGGGTCCTGGCAGGTACCGTTAGAACCACCTGACCCTACCAACAGTGTTGCAAGTCAGACAGCATTTTTTTTTTTACATTTTTGGTGTCTCCATTTGTTAATTTTTTTTCTGTGGGGTTTGCACAATAGTATACTGTTTTACCTACAGTATTGTAAAACGATTTGGGAAAAGAAATACTCGGTAACTTAAAATTTTAAAAGGAAAATTTTGAAACTGGCAACTGTGTGTAGATGACCTGACTCACATCATATTGATGTTTCAAATTTAATTAACAAAAATTTATGTATCTATAAATAAACTTTTAAAAATGAATACTTTATGTTTTACATACTCCTGTGCATACCATACCATGCATTTGGCTACTTTGGGCTTGCTATGATGACGCAAGAGATCTGCCCTGGCAACTGTACCGACACTCACAGCGGGCGGTGCGTTGGTGCGTCGTTTCCATTGTTTACTGGTAGTTACTGGTAAATATTTTTCAACCTAACGAAACTATTACCCGTATAGAGGTCGACCCCCAACTTTTTGCCCAAAAATTTGGTCTTAAGAACTCGTGCTATACACGGGTATATACGGTAGGTATGTGCCTTCAAAAAGTGGAGTTTGGGGGTCAGGCCGGTTTCTATTGGAATTAATCCCATATGTTCTGTTGTTCACTTAACGCGGATTTCACTTAACACTTAACACGGGACCCTCTGGGTTC